ACAAGAAAATGGGCTTCACACATTGTACCCATGTCGGGAATCGAACCCAGGTCTTCGGCGTGACGAGCAAACGCTTTAACCACTAGGCTATCCGACCGCCCCCCATTAGAACAAGAGTCAGGATTATATTACCATTGTGTCAGCATTAGAACAAGAATCAGGATTATATTACCATTGTGTCAGCATTAGAACAAGTGTCAGGATTATATTACCATTGTGTCAGCATTAGAACAAGTGTCAGGATTATGTTACCATTATGTCAGCATTAGAACAAGTGTCATAATTATATTACCATTGCATTAGAACAAAGTGTCAGAATTATATTACCATTGTGTCAGCATTAGAACATGTGTCAGAATTATATTGCCATTGTGTCAGCATTAGAACAAGTGTCAGGATTATATTACCATTGTGTCAGCATTAGAACAAGTGTCAGGATTATATAACCATTATGTCAGCATTAGAACAAGTGTCAGGATTATAATACCATTGTGTCAGCATTAGAACAAGTGTCAGGATTATATTACCATTGTGTCAGCATTAGAACAAAGTGTCAGGATTATATTACCATTGTGTCAGCATTAGAACAAGTGTCAGGATTATATTATCATTGTGTCAGCATTAGAACAAAGTGTCAGGATTATATTACCATTGTGTCAGCATTAGAACAAGTGTCAGGATTATATTACCATTGTGTCAGCATTAGAACAAGTGTCATAATTATATTACCATTGCATTAGAACAAAGTGTCAGAATTATATTACCATTGTGTCAGCATTAGAACATGTGTCAGAATTATATTGCCATTGTGTCAGCATTAGAACAAGTGTCAGGATTATATTACCATTGTGTCAGCATTAGAACAAGTGTCAGGATTATATAACCATTATGTCAGCATTAGAACAAGTGTCAGGATTATAATACCATTGTGTCAGCATTAGAACAAGTGTCAGGATTATATTACCATTGTGTCAGCATTAGAACAAAGTGTCAGGATTATATTACCATTGTGTCAGCATTAGAACAAGTGTCAGGATTATATTATCATTGTGTCAGCATTAGAACAAAGTGTCAGGATTATATTACCATTGTGTCAGCATTAGAACAAGTGTCAGGATTATATTACCATTGTGTCAGCATTAGAACAAGTGTCAGGATTATATTACCATTGTGTCAAAATTACACCATTGTGACCCTGTATGTTCTTGTCGTGTTTGTCATCCTCTCGATTGTACGTTTTTGCAACCGTTTTACTATATTCGGTTAGCCAGCTATTGTGAGAACCCGTTCAAAACATATTTGTGACTTTCTTCGTATCCATGGACATATCAGTGTGTGAAGACACGTGACACACCAGCACTCGAACCATTCGTCCAACATCAATATAGTTCAACAACTCCTTGCCTCGAGCAAAGCAACAGGTCAAAATCCAGGCATCGATTTTTTACTAGCGGTATGCAGATCTGTCCCCGCCACCTGGCGGGGAATGTCGTCACTATCCCTGCCTCACTTGACTTGTCCCGCGCTCTCTGATTAAATGTGATTGCACGATGAATGTCAAAGATGAAGATACTCTCTGAGCTAGTCAACTTGATCACGTGATCTCAGCAAGGTCAGCCTCTTTTAGACTGATTGTGATTGAATTCCGTGGAGAATCACCAAGTTGAGATTAGTGATTGAACCCGAGAGAGTTGCAGATTCTACGTCATTGGGACAAGCGGTTGGCCGTGTTGATACCCCTGTTGGCATCATCACTCGTCAAAAACTCTAACCATCCGATTACAAAGTCACCACACAATTCTGCTTTTGTGTGTGCACGGACATCAATGACGACCTAATGCCAAATTGGACGTCACAAGCTTGTCTTGTCTCTATTGAGCCTGTTCTTTCTTTAAGTTGCCATACTGAAAGGCCGGTGATCGGTGACTGGCTCAAGGTACAACTAAATGTCAAACAAAATTATTTCAGCGAAATTAAATCTTTGTAACTCGCGATCGCCATGAGAAATTCGACACGTGTCACTCGTGGTGTGCACGTGATATTTCGAGCTGAGAGTTCGTGTCCATCCCTCGTTGTGTACACGACCGTTCATCTCATGAAATTCGCATACCTCGCTCGTGAGACGTGTGACTCATAAAAAAATATATATTTCCGTTTTGCATCTCAGCATCTGGATTACGAACGATCTGAAGCAGGCGTTTGGCGAAAGTGTGTGTCCCATGGTTGCTTGGATCCACTGGTATACCTGGTATACTTCGATCATGATCCTTATCTCGCTATGCTATACCCCAGCTAGAGATGAACGGCAGCGATCTTGGTCAATTTTCATTAAGCTGACAATCCAGAATATATAGTTGACATTCAGCCCTACTGGTGGTGCAGGATACGCTCGTCTTTTTCACGGACACCTGGTATCGTCACTATTTCATAGTGATTCATAAACACATGCTCATGATATAGTCGGATCCTACAATCGACTGTCTTTGACTGAGATTTCATATGCATGTGGAAAGGGTTTTGTCGCTTTTATCATCTAAAGAAAGGATACTCGTAGTTATGATATATAACAGTCTCTGGGTCAGAAGGAAGCTCTCTAGTCGAGACATAACATCCCTTTACTTGTGGCATATACCGGTCTGTTTATTTAGAATGAAGCCCTTTACCTGTGGCGTATACCAGTCTGTTTATTTAGAATGAATCCCTTTACCAGTGGTATATACCAGTCTGTTTATTTAGAATGAATCCCTTTACCTGTGACACATACCAGTCTGTTTATTTAGAATGAAGCCCTTTACCTGTGGTATATACCAGTCTGTTTATTTAGAATGAATCCCTTTACTTGTGACACATACCAGTCTGTTTATTTAGAATGCAGCCCTTTACCAGTGGTATATACCAGTCTGTTTATTTAGAATGCAGCCCTTTACCTGTGGCATATACCAGTCTGTTTATTTAGAATGAATCCCTTTACCTGTGGCATATACCAGTCCGTTTATTTAGAATGAATCCCTTTACCTGTGACACATACCAGTCTGTTTATTTAGAATGAATCCCTTTACCTGTGGCATATACCAGTCTGTTTATTTAGATTGAATCCCTTTACCTGTGGCATATACTAGTACCAGTCTGTTGATCAGAAAGAAGCCCTTTACCTGTGTCACATACAAGTCTGTTTGTTATAGGGATGCCTTCACCTGTGTCAAATACTATTAGGTACATCAGAAGGAAACCCTTTACCTGTGTCACATACTATTATGTATATAAGAAGGAAACCCTTTACCTGTGTCACATACCAGTCTGTTATTATAAAGATGCTTTTACCTGTGGCATAGAGAGAGAGAGAGAGAGAGAGAGAGAGAGAGAGAGAGAGATTCTTTATTTCCTCCAGAAGTTAATCCGAAGATTATACGTAATTAATCAAACGTATTCACACAAACCCATATTACCAGTACATATATACAATACAAGACAGTAGCACCAGTGTCATGCCATTCACACAGTACAAAAGGTTAGATCAGATGACATAATCAAGGTAAGCCTTTAGCGGAAGTACATAAGCAGAAAATATCAGTATAACAGATTCCCATTTCACTTTATCAATACATTGTGAGAAGTGAGTATCATCACCAAAGAAAAATGACAACATATCTTCTTCATCTTGTGATTCCAACTGGACATAGGTTTCAACATCAAGCAGATCAATAAAAGTTGAAAACAGTTCATTTCTTTCCTGCAGTAAAGCTTCACAATGTAATATAATGTGATTATCATAACCAAAGGCATGCTTGTTACACAATAAACAGTCCCTGGAAGTTTTGTTTCGTGATGAAACTCTAACACAAAATTTTAAACTTGACCTCTGTTCTGGGTATAGATATGCTAGTTGCCATAATATATGGTGAGTAAGCTTTGTGTGTATTAGCATGAAACGTGAAAGACCTGTATTGACAGAAACTTTTCTGCGCCAAATATTTTCTTCATATTCATGAATGGTTTTATTAACCAGTTGCTTCCAGTTTCTCTTTGTAGGAAATACACCTGTGTCAAATACCAATCTGTAGATCAGAAGGACGCCCTTATATATAACCCTTATATATCAGTATGTATATCTGAAGGAAACCCTTTACCTGTGGTATATACCAGTCTGTATATTAGACGAAAAGACTTTACCTGTGTTATATACCAGTCTGTATATTAGACGAAAAGTCTTTACCTGTTATATATCAGTATGTTTACCAGAAGGAAACCCTTTACCTGTGGCATGTACCAATCTGTAGATCAGAAGGAAACCCTTTACCTGTATTGTATACCAATCTGTACATCACCCCTTGACCTCGACGTGACATACATATATGCATGTAGAACATTCTAAATATCAAAAGGGGAGCCTTTTGTTGTATCATAAACCCGTCCATATTGTGTTTCCTCGTGTTCAGCATGTATTATGTTCGCGTACTGCGTCAGGTGCAGGTTGTTTTCAGGAGATGAATTAGTCGCCAACAACGACTCTAGTAACATGAAGTCATGCAATTTGCTTATTGTTCGTTATTCCAATTTATATATGCTAGCTATTATTGCCAATCTATTTTGCAATTCATTGGAAAAAAACTGCCTACATATACATTTTTATTCACCTACCATAAATTTATTCACCTTTGTTAAATGTCATCAAGGGGCTTCCTCCATTACGCGCAAGCCATACGACCCGGTGCACGCCGCACAACAACATATGTTAATAATGATACAAAATTGAATATATAAAGAAGGATGGCAACACATGTGTGGATACTCAAATAGCCAGTCAAGCGAGATTACATTAACCATTCTTCCACTGAAACAATTAATATTTGAAATCAATTAATAGCCTCCACATCCCTTTACTATGAATGAGTCGATATGCTCCACTGGCAAATAATATGTTTCTTGTTAGAGTGATTCGTCAAATATCATTATCACTTGAGCCAGACAACTGTATCTTGTAGGCAACAATGGCACTTAAATGGTCAACGTTTGTGAACACATGCTATACATGTACGAACACTACCGGCTGGTGTGCAGAAACACGTACCCTGAGCTTCATAGTTGAAGGCAATGCGTTGTACTGTTGACAGGATACCTTACCATTCGGGACATGTAGAATAGCGTGGACATTCAGATTTGTGTGACATTCATGGATTATGTTCATGTAGCCAGGAGGTGCAAGGGTATATGTCTCCACGGAAGGAATGGTGTGTGCATTTGAAGCTTCTATGTTATTGAATGTTTAATAGGAGATATCCTGTGCTAGCAACGTATCCATGCAGCAAACCTGAGAAAGGTAACTGACAGCTTCAAGCAAGCAATGAATAACAAGTATTTCACCCGATCTGCGACTCAAGTTAAATACTGAAACGCTATAGTTACAGTTAGATTTAAATCCTAATTTTAAATTCTTCCTATTAATTAATGATGTATGGTAATTGATTGTCCTTGGTTAACATCCTTCCTAATACTGTCACCACTGGCGGATGAAGGCGTCTGTGGCATAAGTATGTGGCGTCTTGCATAAGAACCCTACATGGCACTCCTAAACTGGTCTCAGCCAAGGCTGTCTTGTTGGACCCTGCATCTTCTCCACGGAAGACGACCAGTGCTATCAGATAATAGATTTTTCTAACATGGGTTTCAAGCATATACTCACACGAAGAATACCGACAAGTGTGTGGATGTTGATGACTCGGATATTTCTATAAGCCATGTTGAAGCAGATTGAAACGGATAATCGAGTAACGCATTTATGGAGATTGGTGCGATGATACGCTGCGTTCTAACGTGAAAAGATTAATTAACGGATCCTTCCATGAAGCTAAATGACTAAATATAACGCTCCTTTGGATGCCTATTAATATTTAATCTGGCTGCATTTGAGGAATCATATGAACATTGAATGTCAAAGTGTGCATGTTACATTTTGTATAACTGTACAAGAAAAGACAAGAGACTACCCGAGGAAGCTTGTTCTATGGGTGGAAACGATAGGAGCTGCCTATGGATCTAGCCAAAGTCGAGCCGTCACTGCCAAATATGGGAAACTCCCACTGTTATACAGCAGTAAAACGCAAGAAAACACCACCATCTGAATGTGAATCTCACCCGATGACGAACAAGCATTTAAAAAGGGACCGACCACATTCGGCAAGTATTATTGTTAAACCTTTCTTCGTGATGTGAAGTCTTTATGAACGTTAATATAAAAAATGAAATATACAAAGACATTTGATAAAAAATTATTTCTATATCGTCAGTTTCTCTTAGAATTGGTCGCCCGTCAGTTCTTTCAAAATGGAATCGTATAAGCCTGGACACTGTATGCATCCTATCGTACCTATTGAATGGCATGATTACAGAAACATTAAGACGGACAGTACTTATACCAGTCTGGAATCCATACTGCAGCTCCGCGTTTTAATTTAAGGTATCAGGATGATATCTGAACCAATCTTACACGGTGATGTGAGTTGCATACTGAATTGGGTCTTCTAATAACTGATATGTTACACACCGAGTTGGTTCCTGCCCGACTTTCACATTACACACCAGATTGGGCCTTCTATAAAAGAAACATTATTACACTCCGAATTGGGCCATCTATAAATGCTATATATTCAAAACAGAAATGGTCCCTTTATAATTATTATATTTCACGCCGAATTGGGTCCTGTATAATATATCACATACTTACCTCGTTTTATCTGTAGATATGTTTTTAAACATAATTGATACCTTTCCTAATTTAATATATCATACCGAATTGGACTCTCCATAACTCTTATACTATATACTGAATGGCCCTTACATAAATTTGGCGTAAATCTTACATTGCAAAAATTATTTTGGTCCTTCATAGATCTTATAAAAGGTACCAAATTACTTTATTATCTTATTTGGAATCTGAACAGTGCTCCGATAATTCTATTTTACATCCATTTTGACCACTCAATAAATCTTATTTTACTTTCCTTATTGGGACTTCTATAATCTTATAATACATACTGAATCGAGCCTTATGTAGTATTATATTATACAACGTAAGACCTCTATGATCCTATATTACACACCGAACTAGGCCCTCTATAATCCTATACTACATACCTGATTGGGCCTTCTGCAATATATTATACAACTCAAGACCTCAATAATTCAGTGTTACATACCGAATTGGACCCTCTATAGTCTTACATTTCATACCGAATTGGGTCTTCAGTATTATTATTATTATTATTATTATTATTATTATTATTATTATCATTATTATTATTATTATTAAAAAATCTTTCGAATACTATACAACTTATTATATATTGACGAATTACCTATGATGTGTGCCTTCTTGTGATATTTCGTTTTTTCACAGAGATTCTTTATACATATATTGTATATCCCCAAGGAGAGAAAAATGACATTTCAGTAATAATAATGTGGACTTGTTTATTCACTTGGTGAATGTAATCTTGCGCATTATAAACGGAATTATTATTATACAGCTTTAAATAAAATAAATGCAGCAAGGAGGGTTTGGGTGATCCTGGAACAGTCGGGCTGGTTAGGTTTATCATCAGCTCAGAGCCCTTGCAGCCCAGACAGCGAATGGGACTTCACCCAGGAAGCTCTGCCTAGTCAAACCCACCCAGAACTATTCGGAGAATGTGAAGATTCCCTAACACTTCAGCCTTCTGCATTACACCAGATTGTCAGAAGGGCTGTATTCCTGACAGCAAACCCGGGTACTCTCCCATTTTCAGTCAAAAAATTGGGAGATACCAAACCTAAGGCACCAAGAGTCGGACACATTGGTTCTTGGGATGAAAGTGTGACATTTCGAAAGCGATGTCTGCATATTTGCCATGTTTTTCCTGAATCTTGTCAATCACATTGTTGTTAAAAGTGACGGAAAACTCAATGATATAAATGATTTCATTGGATTTTCAAAAAGGACAAGATAGGTTTGTTGGCCTGATTAGCTCTGAGGCTGTATACGGGCCTATTCTAAAGAATTTTGTATTTATTATTTTCCATGACACCCTCTACATATTCTGATCGTACCATGGATGGACCTCTGTGTCAAAACCACAAGCCTGGCGAAGTCGGTAATAAAATTATTGAGCTACACCATCATGTCGCTTCAGATACCGTGTTAGTGCCGAAGCTGGGCATCCACTGACAATGTGTTGGAAAGTCTCAGTAAATTCATTGCATAATCTACATTTCATATTAACATTTTTATACCAAATCACACATTGACGGTTTCGAGTGGGAAGTGACTGGTCCTGAGCAGCAAACAGAAAGTTTTCTGTTTCACTTTTCAGGCCAGCCGTCTTCATGCAAGCAAATGACTCTGCAGGGTTGCTGATTTTCTCAACATACTGCACATAAACTCGAGTCTGAATGTCATGGCCGATTTGACATGGTACTTCGCTTGGTTGACACTCATTTCTGTACCGTCCAGCAGCACAGAACCATCAACAAGATCAACACTGACATTGAAATTATTTCCCACACCCTTGGCTCGTTAAGTTAACTGTGGATATTATCATTAGTATTAGTATTATCATCATCATCATCATCATCATCCTACTGAGGGAAGTGATGCGAGAAGATACATAGCTTCTCTTAACCTTCTCAGTAGCATGAACCAGTTTGTCGTGGCAGCGCAGTCGTCAACACCTCACCACGCAGTAGACGTTAAAGCGTTCCCTCCTCTTCCATAACGCCGCAGACACTAGAACTCCCACTCGGAGAGTCCTCCTGTACTTCGTGCGATGTGAAGGGCCTTCACGCTTCAAACAGTAACCTAACGCCAGCGTACCTGGCCATGCTCGTTAGAGGACATTGCATTGGTAACAAAGGTCAAATCTTTACACCTACGTTCAATATAATCAACAGACAAAAATTAATTCTCTTTCTCAATTTAACTATGAATATTTTATGAACAAATGTGTCATGTACATATGTCAACACAATTAACCTTGGAAGCAAAGTTCAACCACACACGGTATACTATCTGTAGATGCGGGAGTTGCTTAGTTTGCATAACACCCAAGTCATATTAGTCATAGTTTCTTCTACTCATTACATGGGGTCTGTTTCATCTTCCCGTTCATCATCCGTAACAAGTACCACATAGGCCAATGATAGCAAGGTGTCCTTTGTGTAAAATCATTAATCGCAGTTAACACCCATCAAGACCTTAATCATATAAATGTCAAGTTTACACGTGTATTAAAACGATAGGTTAATGGACACAATTATCTGAACATCTCAAGCCTAACCCCACTACCACACTATATCGACCCCGTGCAGATAATGTTCTGCTTGTCTACCTACTATATAAATGATTGTATGCATATTGATTTGAAAACATAGGCTATTGTTATAGAATCAATGCTAACGTAAAACACACGTACAATAGCTAATGTATCACTGTGTAGAAAGACAATATTTATCATCGTGTATGGCTCCCTGTCCGTTCTTTCTAGACGTGTTACGCTGATGCACGGTTCACTGCAGAGGCAATGGGCGTCATGTTTCAGGAGCTGACCGTTGGCAACGCGTGTCCAAATTCTACAATAGGATATTAGCGTGAATCTTTGTTTGTTTAGCATTATCGTGTGCAAAGGAAACACAATAGAGGTCACTTTGACATGTCAGCTCTTGTAAAGAATTTCATAATGAGGTTGATGGTTCACATAGCGACACATTATTTGTTGATATTACCCTCACTTCCGGTTTGTCTTCACAGCGTCAAGCATGTAGTTTAGTCTGAAGGAACACGCGCCCTGCTGGTGATACCACTCACATTTAACGTGTCTGGAGACTTATGTATGAAAGTATTGATGTATTAGTGAAGACGTGTGTCGGTTTACCTGCTCACAATACTCGAACAATATGACAGAGGGTTAAAAGGCTTCATATTGTTCCTCGCTTTAACATATTTTATTGTCCATGCAGACAATTGGATTGTGCACAAGTGCACCACTTACTGCGGTCTCTTCCCTATATACAGTTAAACATAATATCACATGATGGAAATGAACAATTTATAATTGAAATACGACAATGTGGAAACAGTGCACAATGAACAATATGTTCGAAAGAGAAAATTGTGTACATTTCATACATATGCAAATATTATAGTTAATATTTAAATATAAATTTGACTATATTAATTAGTTACAATGCGGAAAGAATCATCTGCTACAAATGAATATATTATTTTTTCTGCAAATTCATATTGAAAAATGTATATATAAGCAGTGATAATCACGAGTGGGATAAGCAAGAGGGTTTACTTCTATGCCTTCTGTAGTCATGCAGATGTCCGTTTACCAATCTGTCAACGTTCAACAAAGGGATTATCTGATTCCTCTCCCTCCAGTCCAGTCTGTACATGAGATCACCCTCAACACTTCCTCTGCAAATTAGAATCATTATGAGTTCTTTATTGTTGACGATTGTGGATTGATTTTGAACACGTATTTCATTGAATGAGGCATTGTGTCCTGTACGAGATATAACCGCCTCTGCAGCGGAAGCTTGTCTATTGGGGAACAACCGGTCGATGCAGGAATGTAGTCACTGCTAACCCGTACAGCCAATGACTGGGTGCCCGGTCTGATCGCCACATACCCTTCCGATATCGGGTGTCCAGCGCTCTGTCTACCCTTTTGGTGTCGGGTTCCAGCTCACTCTACCCTCTGGTGCTTGGTACTCTTGGTTTAAACCAATGTAGTAATGAACGAACTGGCCAATAATGAGAGTACAGTGCTGACACGCGTGAACCAGGCGTATTTGGTGGCAGCGGACGGATAGAAGCAGACGACTTTTTGGTAAGGAGCAGACGACACAATCACGACTCGATAGGGGTTAAGCCAATGGAGTTGTAGTATCAGCCAGGTAAGGCGTACTTACTGCTACGTTTATGTTTCATAAAGGGAAAGCAACATTATTAGTTTATCTACTTTGGTTTCTTTATATTAATTTCATCTTTTTAAAGTACTGATGTAGAATGTGAATTGAGTATGCAACTGAGTAATTAAGGCCAGGTGATGTGACTTCCTGTCAGACACTTATCCATTCCAACACAGGTATCCGGTAGGTGATGATACCACCCGTTCACCGAACACCTTGCTTTACTG